TTCCGCACAGTTCTTTCGGCTACAGCATCCTCGCCATAAACAGCGCATATCTTATTTGCCGCTTGTGCGGCATTTTTACCCTTTCGGAAAAAGAAAAGCATTAAATGCCTATAATGCATTTTATTTACCACCATATTCTAAGGCGTACAATACTGATAAAAATTAACGAATCGTAACCACAAACTCTTTTCCAAATATGACTGAAGTTATCTCTTTTAGAATATGTACACATGTCATTTGTTTTCAATAATTGTGATATATTCAGTCAAGCCTCTCACGCTACCTACCGAAAATCGGCACGAACTTTCCGGACAACCCAATAGAACTCGTTACCGAACCAACGCTAAATCCGCGCGAACCAACCGAAATCGAACGGTTCTTCCGCAGATCTAACAACGATGGCGAAAAGAACCTGCCAATTAGAGATTCGTCTACCACCGAGGATGCTCGAGGAATCTGCTGCTTTGCATACAAAGTGCACGCATTGTTTGTAAAGGGCGCGTTAATCACGGAGAGGATTATACATTCACGGACTCCATAAAGCTCCGTCGAATTATTCAGTCGGCTATTATCATACTCGATCGAATTAAGTTTGAATAGCCTCGGCGCGCTTCGTACACTTCGAGCTTTATTGCCGCGAGTCGCAATAGAACCATAGGTGAGCACAAATGGTAAAAGGCGGCGCGGTGAAATTTCCTCTGTTTGGAGATGTTTAATGCATAGATTCGTAGGCAGGCGAACGACGGCTCGGCGGGTACGGTGCTGCCTTCGTGACCGCATTCTTCGCAAAAGTGCCAGGGACCGACCGACGGATCGAAAAAGCACGAGTTCTCTGCAAACAGTCCGACATGCCGACTGCCGATTCCCGTTTCGCGCTCGTCAGCATGGACCTCGTCGCTCCTCGTCGCTTCGAGTTTTCAAGATCACGCTTTCTTCGGGAGCTATCCGATAGTTGGCGTTAACGATAATAATCATTCCGCCGTTCCAACATCATCGGAAACATGACGCACGATCATTATATCGCGTTGAAAAAATAAAAATACGAATAAACATGATTTGCAACAATGTGGAGAAATAAAAATTCATTTGCAACAAAGTATAGCCTCGACTGAATCCGATACCATGCAAAACGCGATGCAAATTTTTATCGTTACGATCGTTCTACTTAATAAACGCACAATGGAAATATTTCCTAAAAAGAATGTACAGGGTTTTCCAAAAATGTCTCGCAATCCGGAAATTGGAGGTTCCTGAGGTCATTAGAAGTAACTTTCTCCTTTACAAAAATGTTCTCCGAGGCATCGTTAACGAGTTATTAATGAAAAACAGTGACCAATGAGAGGCGAGTTCGCTCGGCGCTAGGCGGCCGAGCCAACGGCGCCAGCGGTCGAGGCGGTCGAATCCCAGCTCAGCTGGCGAGAGGCGGCCGAGCCAATGAGCGCACAAAGCCCAGTTTCGTTGATTGGCTCGGTCGTCTCGCGTCGGCTGATCCTGCCTCTCATTCATTGGTCACTGTTTTTCGTTAATAACTCGTAAACGAAGCCGCGGATTGCATTTTCGCTAAGGAAAAAGTTGCTTCAATTCACTTCAGGATCCCCCCATTTCCGTATTACGAGACATTTTTGAGACACCCTGTATACTTTTTTTTAAATCGATATTTCATCCACTATTTATATTTCTATATTATTATTATATATATATTATATATTATATATTATTATTTTATATATTATTATTATATATATTATATATTATATATTATTATTATATATTATTATATCTATAATATATATTATTATTATATATTCACTATATTATTTATTTATATTTCATCCTATTTTCATCCACTTTCTATTATACACGGTGCATGTTATTTTCTTTTTTAATTCATGTTAAAAGTGACTACGATTCGAAATTACGATGCTAAAAGTAATTGATACGCATCGTCTTATAATTTAACGACAGTAGAGGATTTATTTATTTTTGACGAATATCGAGAATGAATTTACTCACGCTGTTAACGTAAAATTATCGATATGTGGAAATGCAAGTGACTAGAATGATTCGATCGCCGACCAATCTTACCGAACGTCCTCGAAACTGTCGGCTTCAGGATAGCTGACAGAAGCGTTCACTTCATAGTTCGATCAAAACCGTATCGAACTAATGTAACCAATTATCTGGCCCGTCTTTTGTTCTTGCTCGCGATCACGCTCGCGCGTCGTTGCCGATAGTTGCAGACTGTTCCCGCGTGTTCCTCGAATATATGAGCATTGTCTCGCCCTACAAGACAGGGAACACGGGGAAACTTATGCTCGATGTCGCCGAGAATAAAGACGTCGCGTCGCGTCGTCGCTGAAGCGTCGACGTCCACACCCACGTGTTTTGTCGTGCCACGGTAGGCGTACATTGTAGCGGACTTTCCTCGAATCCTCCAGGAACACGATTCGAAAGCATTTAAGGGAAGCTGAGTCCGCGTATTGTGAACCAGCTAGCGAATATACAGGGTGTCTCGGTAACTCTGTTACAAAGCGATATCTCCATTATCGTTAATGATACGCGGAAATGCTTCAGGAACAAATTGTTTGGTTCGAAGGGACACGAGTTGTGGTGGAAATCATTTTTTTATAAAGGTCATATTTTTTCAGATTTCAAGGTCATCGATGTTTTTTCAAATGGGATTACATATTTCTATCGTTATATCATGATAGCTAAGATCAAGACGAATCTAATAACCTATAATACTATGACCTTCGTGCGACCTTGGGTACGAAAAATAAAGAAATTTTTAGACATGGACACGCATAATGAAATAACTACAACAGGGAGATCAACGATGAAAAATTTATTGTAATAAATGTTCAAAATTATTTCCATTGACTTCAAGACGTTTATTAATTCGATTATGAAAACTCTGACAGAGCTCCATATTCCATACCAAAACGTTGTACCGAAAGGAACATAACATAAACATACTGGCATTTGGTATCGATAAACGTGTCCATGTCTAAAAATTTCTTTATTTTTCGTACCCAAGGTCGCATTCGTCTTGATCTTAGCTATCATGATATAATGATAGAAATATGTAATCCCATTTGAAAAAAACATCGATGACCTTGAAATCTCAAAAAATATGACCTTTACAAAAAAAATGATTTCCACCACAACATGTGTCCCTTTGAACCAAACAATTTGTTCCTGAAGCATTTCCGCGTATCATTAACGATAATGGAGATATCGCTTTGTAACAGAGTCACCGAGACACCCTGTATATCGCGCAACTCGATCTCCGTTTGCTATACAGTAAATTCTCCCTAATTGACGCTTAGCTTGTACACAAAACTGGACAATCTGGGAAAAGGAGATACGATTGTTCGAGCCTTGCAGCTCGTTTTTATAGTTATCGATTGTCAAAAATTATAAAAACGAGCTGCAATGTTATTTATAATCGTACCTCATTTTCTCAAATCGTTCATTTTCGTGCACAAGTTGTACATCAATTAGGGAGAATTTACTGTATCTTGTTCCAATGACTTGTAAAGCTTTCAGGGAAAACAACGGCCCAGGATTGATCGCGTTGATCCGCCTTTTTTCCCGATCGACGTAAAACTTCATTTCATCGAGACTACGAGAGACTACGGTAAATGCGGATTAACCCTTAGCGGACGAGAGGCGACTCTCGGTCGCCACGGCATTTCGCGCGGCAGGACGAATGGCGAGCGAGAGGCGACAGTCGGTGTTTATGTTAAATTTCGTTATCTCGAACATTATCCAACGTACTGTTTTATGAGAAAGTCCCTGAAGTGGTGGCGCAAATTATTTTTCCGGAGACTGGAAATTTGTTTAATCAATTCGTACATTCTCTACAAACATGTAAAAAGGCAGAGAAACGAACAGCCAGTTACACATTTGAACTTTCGCAAAATTTTGATCAACAAATTGAGAGGAGATTTTCGTCAACCACGAGATAGATCTTCAAGCTCGACGACCAACTCTGACGAAATTCGTCTAAACGAGAAACTGCATATAATTGTTACTGACACAAAGAAAGATCGCAAAGTTTGTTCCAGTCGNAGGAGATTTTCGTCAACCACGAGATAGATCTTCAAGTTCGACGAACAACTCTGACGAAATTCGTCTAAACGGGAAACTGCATGTAATTGTTACTGACACGAAGAAAGATTGCAAAGTTTGTTCCAGTCGAAACAAACCAGGGGGAAGACATGAGACGACCTATTTCTGTGATACATGTCCAGATAAACCAAGAATGCATCTTGGTCAATGTTTTATAAACTATCACACCGAACGAAACTACAAATCATAATTTTTGTAAAATTATGTTTATAAAAGTGTGAATATAGATAAACTAACGAAATATAACGTTTTTGTAAGATAATATCTATATGTAAGATCATTTTATTGTACCATATAAGAGACACTCGACATATTTGCAAAAATCGCCTCGTCCTGTTACCTGACTCTGCCGAAAAAGTCGTCGTCCGCTAAGGGTTAAAGCGATGTTTCAATTTTTCAATCGAAATCGATTGAACGCGAATAAATTGGGAGGCCATCGTTGCCTTCTTTAAAGTGCAACACTTAACAACGATCTCTACATTGTTGATAAAGCGTTAACAAAGCTGCTACACTTCGGAAATAATTCGCATTCGAAGTCAAAGAATTACGCATGCGATGCAGCCAGGAGGAGTTGCGAGGTAAACGGGAAATTTGTGAAAGTCTAAAAAATATCTATTTGTAAAGAGGTACATTCGAAATCGAACTAAACGTGTGTGAATTGAAAATAAGGAACAACAAAATACATTAACCCTAGAAAGATAACCATATGACAACGTACGTAAAAGATAACCATACGCTTCAGAGGCGCATGCTTTTCTAAGGCGTCAATTTTATACTAACAATGGATATTTATTTAAGTTAATCTAGTCATTTTAAAGGTTTGGCATTATTGTAAAAATAAAATGCATTTATATTATATTTTTTTATATTTTAAGTAATTTTAAACTTAAATCACTAGACCTCTATGAAAAATTAACAAAAATCAACAGTCTTCGCAGGCGCCTCTGCGACGTAGGTTATCTTTCTCGGGTTAAGTACGTCGGGAAACAGATTTTATGCGCATTGCGATGTAATTAATGTTACGATTCTAATTAGACCGCAGGCTTTTGCTTTTTATTAAACGTCGGATAAGATTGTGAGTAACGGAATAAAATTGGCACGTGGGATAAATTTTGTGTTTATTTTCAGAATCTGTGAATTATAAAGAATGACTGTTACGAATGGAAAAACACTTTGTAAGAACTCTGTGACTCTGAGGCACCACTAAAATTGTTATACCACGTTCTAAGATCATTTTTACATGATCGAAGTTTAGATTTTAAATACTATTAAAAGTGTAACTCTGTTGTACGCGAATCACGAGACTCAATTTCGTACGCATAAAATGCACTTTGTCGTATAAAATGGCAATACTGCGAGTCAGAAAAATTATCTTAAATCTACAGTTAAAGAATAGCTTCGAGCGCAAAGGGTTAATAATGTAAGAGTAGAACAAACAAGATTTATCACAGCAGTTGCTTTTGCAAGCCTGTTGAACCTCGCAGATCCCAGAACAAAGCTTGTCTTGCTCAATAATAGATTTTTAATCGAAACGAACGTTGATGTCTGACAAAAGAAAAACACAGTAAATTCTCCTAAATCGACCTTTAGCTTGTACAAAAGAATGGACAATTTGAGAAGAGGAGATACGATGCTTGTTGTTGACAATCGGTAACTATAAAAACGAGCAGCAAGGCTCGAATAATCGTATCTCCTCTCTTCTCAAATTGTCTATTTTTTTTAGAGTCAATTAAGTAGAATTTACTGTACATACATACGACCTTCGCTCCGATAAATCTGCATGCAAAATAAAATTTGATTGCATCTATTGCAAAAAGCAAGAATCGCTCGGCGATGATCTTCTTTCTTTAACAATTCCGTTAGATTGTATCATGCAAGCAACAGCCTCCTACTTTTTTTTAACTGTTCCATTTGCAATTGCAGCCAACGATTTCTGTGATAAATGCATACAATCCGCGGTCTAGCGATAATTATTCGAAGTTTAGGTGACGCTGGTCGGTAGAATGATCCAGCCGAGCGTAAATTGTTAATCAGTTTGATTGAAATGCAACGCGCGACGCGACGGTTCGATGGCTAGAAAACAATTAGCTTGAACATCAACTGCAGCGCACGGATCAAGCGTTGATCGATCGGCGATAACCGCCGGTGGTTCGAGTGGCAAGTGCAGTAAACGTGAAATACTGGTTAACACTAGCTCGCGCGTTCCCGTACGCGTTCGCCATGCGGTTCGAATGACCGGGTCTCGCCCACGTCGGATAGCTAACTAGATGATCCTCTCGATGCGTTGGTTGCCATAATGGCTGACCGCCCCGGCGCGGCGCTACTCTTCTAACCCTTCTAATCCTGACAAAGTCAACTTTATTAGACAAGCCTATAACGGAAATTGAAACAATGCGTTTATGTGCTGCGTGGCAGGATAATTTTAAACGAATTCAAATTGTTATTATTATTATGATATAATAATGAATATATATATATATATATATATATAATTATATTTATTATTGTTATTATTATATATATATTATTATATTATATATTACATTTATTATTATTATTATATATATATTATATATATAATATATGCATATATAGCATTTATTATTATAGCACTAATTATAATAGCAATTATTATGCTATAATAATAAGTATATATAAGTATAATAATAATATAGTAATATAACAATAATAAATATAGTAATAAGTATATAATAAGTATATATAAGTATATATATATATACATATATATATACTCATTATTATATTATATATTATTATAGCAAAAATTATAATAGCAATTATTATGCTATAATAATGAGTATATATATATACTCTCATTATTATAGCATAATAATGTATATAATATATATAATATATAATTAATATATAATTAAATATATATATATAT